AACCCAAAGTCCATCTTCCCAGAACCCTTAAATAGCCCTATTTTCTCAATTTCCGCGTTTATTCTCTATTTCACCGCGCGCACGTCACGTAACATTAAAATCTCCGTCAAATGAAGTTCTGTTTCTACGCAACGACGATCCTTAAGTGTTTTAATTCAGCGATACCCCAATCCTAGTTTCGAAGAATTGGAGCAAATCGGGCATCACCAATTACAGAATCAAATAACACACAGTCGTACTTCGATCAACGATTGCTCTAAACAATACGAACAAACAACCGTTTAATCCGCAGTAATAAATCAAGCTTCCACTTGTTCGCGTTATATCGAAATCACCGCAGAAATCAGTCGTTCAATTCTCGTGGTTCCCCGTTGCTCGCGACACCGGCAACTTTTCTCGCGACTGATCGACCGAATCTCGCTGGAAAATCTAATTTTCCTCGCCGACCGATCCATTTCCCTTTCCGCTCGACCGCCTGGCCAATATACGCGTCGCTTGTAATCCTGACAGGCAGTGCTCAGGAACTCATCGAGCTCCTTTCCAGAGTCGATTTCCCTCTCTCGCGAATTCAATTTTCCCAACTACCGCGCGAGGCTTTGTCTCCTCCTTTCGTGGCTCGCGGAACCACCGCGAATTTTCCCGGCTAACAATAATTTATATTTTTTACAGCATCCAGGCTTGATACGCCGAATTTCTAGCACATTTTCCGCCAACTACATTTTCATGGAATTTTTTAGTTCTCAAATGGCGAACGAAGGTTTCATTCCTAAAATAATTGCTTCGGGGGGAAATTAAAGCGGACGGAACTCGCGAATGAAGGATTCACTTCTAAAGTTATTGCTTCCGGGGGGGAAATTTAAATCGAGCTTTATATTCGGAACACAATTTTCTTTTCTTCCTTGCAGAGGTATTTCGATGGTACTTTTTGTAACTATGTTTATTTTAAATTCCATTGCTCGTAGCGCAGTATTACCTGGCTGTTTTATTATTTAAGCGAAAGCTGCGCTCATTGTCGGATCGGGCGCGATCGTAAAAGGCTGGGTTCGAAACGGCGATCGGGATTTGACGTTTAACGGTGAATAAATACGAACAAACGATGGGCGAATTTGTCGCGCGAACGACGTCGTTTCCCTGTCACGCGACCATTGCCGCGCGTCAACACGTGGAAATTATGTTTTCCGTGCTTTTATCGCCGTCTGATTTTTCCGTCTCTCCTATTGTAGGCATTTTGGGACGGTTTATGGCCTGCGCCTCTTGGCGAGTGACAAACACCAGAGTACCCATCGGTTCGGCCCAGCGATGTATCTTTGCCTTTCGACGAGAGTCCGTTCTTAGCTTCGGCCGTAGACGTACGCCGAAGAGTCCGAAATGAACTACTTTGCACGACATCCTGATTTGAGTAAAGTTCATTAGACCACCTCCTACACTATCGACCTCTAGTTTAACGGGCGAAAAAACGAACTAGCCGAAAGAACGGTTCTTCTTCTCTGTTAGATCAGAAACGAGGCAACAAACGAACATTTCACATTTACCCTCCACCAAGAAAAATCTCTTTCCAGCGAACAACATAATAGAATCAGGACGAATCTAGAAGAAACCTAAATTTCACGAACGAGTACACGTGTGTAACTCACGGGAAAGAAGGTAAGGTCCTCGAAGAAAAGATTCTCCACCGAGTCGACCCTCAGATATCGTTCTCCGCGAATCTACAACGGGACATTAGCTTCCGTGGGTTGGTTCAGTCGGCTGGTACGCGGCATTAAGCTCGCGTCGCGAGTAGAAAGTGGAAAAAATGTGCGTCTAGTGTGTGTTGGTGTCCTGAAGTCGAGGATTTATCACGGGGAAAATGTAGGAAACAGAGAGACAGAGGGTTACAGGCTTCGAGAGTGAAATGGAGAAGGACGAGAGGAATGCTTAGGTGTAGGAAAGTCTCGAGGCGTGGCCGCTGGAAATGGAAAATCTTCTCAACGGAGGCTGAAGAGTACTTTTAAACGTGGAAGCCCACGTGGATGAGAGATGTCAGCCGGAGCAAGCTCGCCGCGAGCATATTTATAACGGGTAGAGAGGGGGGCGACGTCTCGGTAAAATGGAGATTGTGAAGGGTGTCGGCGGGTGTGTGCACCTTGCCCGAGTAACTGTGGTCTACCGAGTCGCTTCAACGAGTGTATCCCACCTCGTCCCGTCGACCATGAGCTGGATTCTCGGGCTAATTTACTCGGGATTAATTTGGACAGGGTCCGTGGGGATCGTTGTTGCGGGACTGCGGCGTGATTGTTTCGCGAAGAGTGGTCTGTTTTGTCGGTTAGAGGGTACGTCGGAGAAGTGGCCATTTTCGGGAAGAAAAATTTCTTCTGTATTGTCAGATGTTTCACTCGGCTTTTCGTCCAGATGGAGTTCGGGTTAGATTCGTCGGCCGCTGTGCTTTGCACTGAGGGCGTTCGTTATTATTAACGGGAGTTGAGTGAAATTCTTGTATTGCAGTGTGTTCTAATACACTAGGAAAAAGTAATTATGAGATACGTTTATATGAGAGTGAATGTAGGAATGTAACGATAATTGAATTCGTACTTTAAACTCGTTAGCAGAACATCCGAGTTCGTTGCAGAGTTTCAAATATTATTTTATTAGAAACGGGATGAAGTCCCATTAGTGTACATAGGGTGTACGAGCATTCGGAATATAATACATAATACATAATTCATAATTCGCGGGGACGTGTTAACCTTAGTTACATTAATTTATTGAAGCTGTAAGCACGATTTATGGGGTCTGAATTACCGATTGTAGTCTTATAAAGGGTTGGATGAAACGACCAGATATTGCCAGAGTTGTTGCACACTTATCCAGAAAATTTCAATTTACGAAAATTGGGGAAGGAAATTTTGGACTTACGAATTATTTAATCGTCGATATTATAGTGACGATTATATCCGTAACAATATGCTCTTCATACTAACTTTCCTCGACCCAAACGACTGTTTAGATTGAATTCACGTTCGGTAAGTGCCCCGGTACTCGCGAAAAGCAGCGTATAACGCGACGTCAAAGAAGAAACGTCTCAAGACCCGTTTCTCAAAGCCGCGCTTTGAATTCACGCGAGAGTGCCATAGTATTACACCCTTAATGACTTGAATCATTCCAGACAATAGTGAACTTTTGCCGGCAGGTTTCCGTTGTATTGTGAGAGTGAACAGAGGGGATTTCTTGTAGAGATGTGCGCCATTTGGAAAATACGGTTCGCCCATTGTCCAGCGAGAAATACACAGACACGAAAAGCTCGCGCGACGTAGGAAATGAAGTGTCTTTGAGTCACCAATAATCCCCGGCGGTGTGGTTCACGGACGAAATAGGTATTCCGCGGCGGCTAGAACTTTGTTGCGAATTTATCGACGTCCTTGAGAATTTACGGCTCGCAATTTACGCTCGCCGGCCACCTACGATCGGCCGGTAAGAAACATTGTTATGGTTTCGCGGCGGCTCACCCGACTTGGCCGTGGAATTATTTTGCATAAATTTCGCCTTATGACTCAGCTCGTCTCCACCCATTCCTGCGTGCGCCTCCACGCTCCACTCGCTCGGAATCGATTCGCTGAAATAATGAATTCTCCAGGTATTCTTCAAGATCAAGATATTTCCACGGCGTAATCCTCCATTTGTATCTTATTAAATAAAAATCCCCCTGTTACTCGTCCTCTGTTCACCTTTGCACTCGTATTTTATACTCTGTTCCAGCTTTGTTAAATTTTTTAAACAACTTCGAACACGAGGAACGCTTCGATGAATTTCCTGAATAGAAATCGAACTTCCAGCAGCAATGTGGTTCGGCAGGATCTCCCATAGAATCGCGAGTCACAAGAGGATTCGAGAGAGGGATACGATCAGCCACGGCAGAATTAAACAAAGACCAGTTCCATAGCCACTCTGCGCCCCACTTTTGGACTTTCTCGTTAATGCGACGATTTAATTCCTCGGCTAGAACCGCCGCTATATTCTCCTCTGTCCCAAAGATCCACGATCTTCCCTCCCCGTCGTCGTAATGCAACGGGAACACCACCCATTCCAACACTCTGAATGCTTTTAAAGGGGACGTTCGAAATTATTTCTGACCGAAAAAGCTCCATAAAGTTCACGCTGGTCGCGCAGGATCTCGCCGTAAGAATGTATGCGAGTCTCGTCTAGCTGGCCACGTTTCCTGGTCGATATTATTGTCCGGAGGAACGGCGACGATCTCGTTTCGTTTTTACGTTCGAACTTCCGGGAGGAATACCGATTCCCCCTGCGAGCAGTGTAAAAAGTTACGAGGCCGGACTGTGAACGCGTATCGCTGATGGAAATCAGTCTTGCGACGCGAATTGTGTCCCGGAACCGGGAACAGAATTTCGACGACGAAACCTAGCCCTGACCGGCTGTACCCCGAACCCCACTTGTACTTTATTAAGCTTGAAAATAGAAAGAGTCGCGGCTCGAGAACGCCTCGACTCTTATCGGAGACGATATTCGTGCCTTATCTGTGTCGTAACTTTCCTCGCGCCGAGGTGTTCGAAGCGTTAAATACGCTCCACTGTGATTGAAGTCGAACTTGCCGGAAAAATAGGGAGCTTTCTGGGAAGATGAGAGAAAGTGTATCTTTAAGCTTTGGGAACGATTCGACAAGGAAAATACTCTGTTCTTTAGGTCTCACTGTAGATCATTCAACGGTATTTGCAATCAATTCCTCGAAGAGGAATGTGACGGATTCGTCTGTGACGAATTTTTAGTAAATTAGATGACGTGGTGTCTTGACATGAACGGTAACTTAAAATTTGTCACATTGCGTATGAATTTCAGGTAAAAGGATAGAAGGGATAAATGTGAAGAAAGGAGTGTAGCCAGGAATAAAGAAGATTATAGAATAGTGAAACTGTAACAGCCGAGGGATAGATGTAACTTGATGACTGAAACGAGTGATTGCAACTTCTCTATTGCTAGTGTATGAAATGAGGATGGAATGTAAGCCTCACCTTTTTTCGACGTCCTGAAAGAATCGTCCTTAGGCACGTACTGGATATCGTAAACCAACGTGGTGTTCGCCAGCAGAGTTTTGTCCTTGTTGATCTTATAAATGGCATACTTGAACGCCAGCTCCGACGGACTGTCTTTTTGGTCCTCCGTGAATATTGCACCTGCAACACCAACGAGAATCCTACCATTGCTAAATGCTTCAAAATTAACCGAATTTCAACGACTCCTCGTTCTACGTCTAACCACACACACACATGCGCGTACACGCGTCTAATCAACGCTTTACAGTCGCGCTTTATTTCATGCGCCTTTTAGAGTAGCAATCCGCGACGAATGGACTTTAATTAAATCCGAATGATTGCAAGTGGCAAGAGTAAGGAGCCCAACGAGCTCGCAAGAAAACGCGTTAATACAGCTGCTCGTTCAATCTGAAACGTCGCTACTTCCTCTTCCTTCCACATCTCTCTCTCTCTCTCTCTCTTTATCGGAAAATACGACGTTGAACAGGAGCGACGTAAACTCCGAATATTTCTCCGGTGCCCTTTTAGTTACGTTGCATCAATTAGGCTGCTGACAAGTTGCGCGGACGTAATTACAGGCGGTCGATGTGCCTGTTCCGCGACAGCGAAACGCTTATAATCGTATTTCCCGCCTTCCAGCGAGTTGATTACCTGCTGCGAGCGTTGCCGAAGAACCAACATGCACCCACGCTGAACTTCTCCAATGACATGCTCGATACACTTGGCGAAAGTTTACAGTGAAATCCAAAATTTCTCGCGAAATACAAACGAAATACGACGTACTTATTACCGTACGTTCAGTGTTTAATCAGTCTAACAGAATGCGTTACGTTCATCGTGAAATACTTCTCGCTTGTCTGACGTGCTATTTACCTTCACTACTGTTTCGCGAAAAACAGTGAAATTCCTGTGGAACCGTTAACTTGTATCGAATTATTTTATTCCCTGTTTTTCTCGCTTGTCTGACGTGCTATTTACCTGTACTACTGTGTCACGAAAAACAGTGAAATTCCTGTGGAATGGTTAACTTGTATCGAATTATTTTATTCGCTATTTGTCTCACTTGTCTGACGTCCTATTTACCTGTACTACTGTTTCGCGAAAAACAGTGAAATTTCTGTGTAATCGTTAAGTTGTACTAAATTATTTTATTCGCTATTTATCGTAGCGGTAATTCTTCTCGTACAATTGGGTTGGATTACTTTCTCACGGAGGAACGGAGATGTATCCATCGAAGCGTTAATCGCGATGCGATTCCCCTCTTAATTCCCATCGTTTAATCTCCCCTCCGATTATCCGCGAGTTGTTAAATCGAAGGGAACGACCGCGAAGCGTGAGTAGGAAACCGGAAAAAGATTGAAGTCGAGAGGTAGGAGGCAGCGGAATTACGATTGAACGGGGGTCTACGGTAGCCAAGCGCCGTTTTTCCGCTCATAATTTTATACGTCTCGGAAACTCTCAACTTTCGCAACTCCGATAATCAATTTTATTTGCCGAGATTCGTTATAACCAGCTCCCGCGTGTGCTTCCACGCCGTGAACGAATGGTTCGCGCGCTTCCCTCGCCACCGGAATTCATTTTCCAACCTTCTCCTCTCCCGTCATTCTTCTCCGTGCTTTTTCCCTTTCTTTTTTAATTCGCCCTGCAGCCTGCGTTACGGAGTTTATTAAGAGTGATCCATCTTCCGCCGGTCAATCTCCCCGAGCCGGGCAACCGTAATCCCTTTCTACTTTGCTCAATTATATCATTTCGTCGTTCGACTAAATCTACGTTTCAAAAGAGACACCGTGTTCTACCGATACGAATGTTTCGTTACGGTCGTTCCTTCTCCGTCGTGGAATAATCGAACGTACGAAATGAGGGCGGTTTTAGCAGAGTATTGAAGTTGAGAGAATTTCGCGAAGCGTTAATTTACGCGATAAAATTGTCGGTTGAAAATGTAGACGCTGTAGTTGGACGAATTTATCCACGTCAGACGGCTGCAAGTTCCCCGGAGGATGAGGAAA